AGTCTCCGGGTACCTTCCCGGTCAGAGCCTCCTTTCTGGTCAAGTACAGGGCCCATTTGGCCAGGCCCAGGAGGAGGCTGACCAGGAAGTCTCGGGACTTGGTGGGGCTGCAGATGGGGTGACCGAAAACAAAAAGGTGGGGGATAAAATTCAACCAGAACTTCAGGAGGAGGTTCTGGAGGTGGAGATGGAGGGGCTGTAGCCTTGTGCACTCGAGGGTCATGTGCGCCAGGGTCTCTCTCTGCAGAAGGGACAGGAGACCAGGGTTTCTATGAAGCTCACCACATACACACCCATGGTGATGCCACCAGCTGAGGTCCCCAGTGGCTCGTAGGATGAGGGTAGAGTACAGACTCAGCCATTGGGATGCACCAGCCATGCCCTCACTGAGCAGGTCCTGCCACTTGGTGTCTGGGCAGGACATGAGGGCAGCATGATGGATCGTGTGGCGCACAAGCGTGTAGAGGTGGCGGCGATGGATGGTAGAAAAGCAAACTGGTTTGGTGTCCTCCATCCAGCTTGGATGGTGGAGCGGGGAGTGCTGCAAGGCTGAGCAAGGTGCTGGCCCCACCCCAGAAGCTCCTGAGAGCGAGTAGCCCTGAGCTACTTGCCTGGGCAGCTTTTTGTACTGAAGGGGCCAGGACAGGGCAGCTTTTTACACTGCTGGGGCCAGCACAGGTGCTGGCCCCAGGCTCTAGCTCCCCCTGGCTGCAGATCCGGGAGGACCTGGGCAGTGTTGTTTTGCCCCAAGTGGCACAACTTGCACCACACCAAAGTGCATGCCTCGGCATGTGAGCCGGGGCGTTTTGCCTCAGTGCAAATTTGCATTGCTTCTACTTGAGCTGCTGCAAGTGCACATGCCTGCATGTGTGGACGTACCCCCTGAGGTCATCTCTGGAGGCAGTTTCTCTTTCAGCCTGATTGATCCTTCACTTGGCTTGACTCTGACTGTTATGTTATGTGCCTACCCATAGTACTGCTTCCCAGTAGAAGCGGGGATGGGAATCATCGGTGCCTCTTCCAGCATCCATCATGTCTGGACTGCAAAGACAACACTGGTTCTAGTGAAAGTAATTCTGTTATCTTCACTTAGCTTGGCCTCCTTCTGTTCTGTAGCAATGTAGCCTGCCCAGAACTCTGCCTCTGGGGACCCGCCTAAGCTAGCTGCTCTCCCAAAATGGGAAGCTGTTGTATGTCACTTCTAAGCTCCCATCCTGTCATTACAGCCAGATTTTCCATGAGGCACAGTCTGGGGTTGCAGAGGGTGCTGAATTGTCTGGCCTTTTTTAACAGAAAGTACTGTGAATGCAGATTCCAGGCAGCCTGCTTACTGGATGGAAGGTTGTCTCTGGTGCACAGTTTATCGCTGAAGGGATCCCTTATTTCTCTGTGCCAGTGTTGGTTTAATACATGCAAAGCCTTCAGATCAGGTGTGAACACAGAATGGGAGCGATGGCAAACACTTCCAGAACTCTCATCTGGAGGGGGAGGAGGCTTTTTCTCTTTCTGTTTTACTGTAGCAGAGCAGTAGCTGAGAGTCCTCAGCCCTATGAAGGAAGCCAGATGGCCTGGAAGTGTCCGAGATGCATTTCACTGACAAAGATTTTGCATCCTCAGGGCTGGCGTGAGGGCTCCACTGTCTTTTCCTGAGAGTCTATGACTAGCAGCCAGAGCCTCTGCCAGCCCCCTGTCCACTTGGGCAGCCAAGAACCTGCTGCCCTTTGCACGTGCTACAGCACTAGAGTGGAATATGTCCCCTTGTTACACCACCTCCTCTCTCCCATCCCTTACAGTTTAGACTTATAAGGTGTCTATACACATGCTCTGGGTGGTAGTGGAGGAGAATTTTAATATGAGGGGCTCCTGGACAGCCACTTTCATTGAAACACTGCTGTGTCACATGTGTTCAGCATCCTGCATTTCAAAATGGCAGTGGGGCCATTTTAAGTAAAGCTTGTCTGACAAGTTTTAATTAAAGCGCCCTTGCCACCATTTTGACATATGGGATGCTGAATACATGTACTGCTGGAGCATTCTAATTGGAACGCTCTGCTCCGATACGTTCTAATTAGAACGCATCAGAGCACATGTATAGGCACCCATAGTGCCCAGCTAGAGAGGTCCTTTTGCAGGCACTGGATGAAGGATGGACGTCAGTTAAGATCTGAGTGAATCTGTTCAAAATCTGCACTCTGGTAGGATGCTGCTGAGCAGAGGGAGGACCATGCCGGTTTTCTGAGAAATGTAGGGCAAGAAGGGACCCTTGCAATTAGGTAGGATCAAGTTTATCTAGACCAGCGGTTCTCAACCTTTTTTGTACCGGCACCCATTTGTAAACATCGATGGACAATCTCAGCCCAGTGCCCCTCACTCCCAGCCCCTCCCCTAAGACCCAGCCCCCCCAATGTGTGGGGCGGGGGGGGCTAAGCAGCACCTCGCAGGCTGGAACTGTGCCAGCCTGCAAGGGAAAAGCTGTGGTTTCCCACATTTTTCTCCTTTAAAGGAGATTCCATTTTTAAAGTTTGTTCATGACCTTTCATATGTTCTTGCGACCCATTTTTGGGTCACGACCCACAGGTTGAGAAAAGCTGATCTGGACCATCCTTGATAGTGGACTGTGACCTGGGCGAAGCACCTTCACTGGAGCTTTCTATAACATCCCTTAGGCTGCCTGTTTCATTGTTTTACTATCTTTACTGTCAGAAAGCTTTGCCTAATATCCAGCGTAAACCTTTCCTACTGCAAATTAAACTGATTTCTTCTCTTGTCACCATTTCCCTGGTAACTATAGAGAACAACTGGTCCCTGCTACTCTCGTTGTAACAATCCCATGGGTATTGGAAATTTGTTTTCATGGTCCCCTTCAGTCTCCTCTTTTCTAGAATAAATACATCTAGTTCCTTCAGTCTTCTCTCAAAAGCCATCCTGACATCTTGTTCATCTCTGTACTACCTCCACTTTGTCTAAAACATTTTAAAATAGTGTTGCAGAATTGGGTAGAACGTAGTTTAACCTGTGATCCATAGTCTCCTTCAGATCCTCTTTTTCCCTGTATTCTTGTTCCTACCCATTTGTATTTGTGTAGCACTTTGCACGTGTCTTTACTGAATTTCATCTTGTTCATTTTGGACCATTCCCTCCAACTTGGATGATCATTTGGAATTCTGAGTCTGTGTTCCTGAGTGTTTATTTCATAGATTTCATAGACATTAGGGCTGGAAGGAACCTCAAAGATCATCAAGTCCAGCCCCCTGCCCCAGGGGCAGGAAGTCAACTAGGGTCAAAGGACCCCAGCAAGATAAGCATAACACCTCTCAGCTTGGTGTTGTCTGCAGATTTTATAAGTGTACTCTCTATTGCACTGTCCAAGGAACTAATGAAAATATTGTAATGGAACTGGACTGAAAACAGACCCATGCTTCACTGCACTTGAAATGTTCTCCCACTTCGGCAGTGAACCATTTATAGCTGCTCTTTGAGTGATTTCTCAGCTAGTTGTGAGCACGGCTTATAGTGATGACATCTAGGCCTTTCTTTTCGTAGTTTGTTTCTGAGAGTGTTATTTGAGACTGTGTTAGAAGCGACATTAAAGTGAAGATATATTCCATGCACTGTGTCTGCCTTATCCACTAGGCCAGTTAGCCTGTGAAAGGAGGAAATTACCATATTTACTTGATTCTAAGATGAGGATTTTTTCCCATTTAACATGGGGACAAAAATCCCTACTCTTGAAAGCAAGTACAAGGGGGGGAGGGGAGCAAGCAGCTGTTACCACATACATAGGCTTAGGTTCTGGCTCCAACCTTGGGCTGGAGCTGCAGCTTCTGCTTGCCTCCCCTGCCTCTGCCTCTTTTCTTCCCCCCTCCCTATCCCCCCATGCTTGCCCTTGGCTGACAGACTCTGTTCCTGCTCTAGCCTGGGGTATGGAGCACCGGCAGTGGTGCTGGATTCATGTAGCTACTACAGGGTTAGGCTGGGGCCATGCTCTGTGCCCCAGACTGGAACATGGATATAACCTGCCAGTGCTGGAGCAAGGGTAAGTGGCAGGGAGAAAGGGGGAAGACCGGGGGTGTACAGATGGCAGGGGCAGGCAGCAGGAGCAAGCTGCTTTCCTTTCCTACCATCCGCCCCCTTACCTCCTACCCTCTTACCACTGCTTTTCCTACTGCAGTGGGGGTGGGGATGAATTTAAGACAATTCTCCAATAATTATATTCTGTGTATGGAAATTATAGTAAATGTATAAGTCTTCTATGTATTGGGAAGTGGTCTTAAATTCAGGTAAATATGGCAGATTGGTTTGATGCAATGTGCTCTTCACACATCCATGTTGGCTGTTGTTTTATTATTTTCTAAATATTTACAAATTGATTTAGATAACACTGAGTTGCTCCAGAATCCTTCTGGGTGTTGGCACTGGATCCTTCCAGCTGAAAAGGGACAACTGGTTTGCCTTAGGGCTAATGGTCCCAAAATAGGCCAAGGGACAGTTGTTTACGCGCAGCTTGAATGGCAGTTAACTCAAATTAGTCCCAGTTGTCCCAAGGAAAAAATGTTATCTTGGTACTTCACAGGTACAATAAGATCCCAAAATAAAGGGCTTTGTGTGGGCATAGGGGAGAGAATCAGTTTAGCTTCTTTTTTCCTTGTTGAAAAATAGGTGCTATGCTTGCCTTTCTCTGATCCTCTGGGACTTTATCTTCGCCCCACAAATTCTTGAGTGTGGTCACCAGTAGTTCAGAGTTTACTTTGCCTGTTCCTTCAGTAGTCTAGAATGAATGTCAGTAGGCACCACCTGCTAGAAATAGGTCCATCTCATCTAAGTGTACTTTAGCCTATTCTTCCCCTGTTCTCCTATCTCCTCATTAGAATTAATCTCTCTAAGTATCTGGTTGCTGTTAAATTTTATGAAAACTGAAGCAAAAATCATGGAACCCTCTAGTAGTTTCTGCATCATCAGTTATCTGGTCTCTCTTTTTTTTTTTTTTTAGCTTTCTCTGGTTTTTCTCTTATTTCTAATATGTTTATAGACCCTTCTCTTGTTGCTTCTTGTGTCTCTTGTCAAATGAAACTCACTTTGTGCCTTAGCCTACATGGATCCCTGTGTTCTTGTTGTGCTTCTATACTCATCCCAATCATATTTGTTTCCAATTTTTTATATTATCTGGTTGATTTTTCAGGTCCTGGAAGGGCTCTGAAAATCTGTTCTTGGTACAATAAGAGGCCCATCTGGTTTGTCACTCTGCTTCTGATTTTCCTTTTGTATTAGGATAGTTTTCCCTTTTGCATGTAATAGTTTCAGTAAGTGCCAGGTCTCCTGCACTCCTCAGACTACCTTCCTAAGAAATGACCTCTGCAGTTCCCTGAATTTGTTGAAGTTTGCTTTTGTGAAGGCTTATTCTGCTACTCTCACGCCTTTCTTTCATTAAAATAATGGGCTCTATCGTTTCTTTATCACTTTTACCCATATTTCTTTCTGCCTTCAAATTCTAAATTAACTTTTCCTTATTAGTCAGAACTAAATCTAAAATAGCTGCTTCACCATAGCTTTTTCCACCTTCTGAACAAGAAGATATCCCGAGTACATTCCAGGAACTTGATGGATTGTCTGTCCTGTCATGCTGGTTTTTTTTTTTCCAACCAGTATCTGTGCGGAGTCCTCAGTTACCCCCAGGTCCTGTCCTTTGGATGCCTCCAATATTTTCTCACTAAAAGCCACCTCCACCACCACCTCCTGAATAGGTTGTCTGCCATAAATCACTTCCATTTTATCATTTGTGTGTTTTTCCCTCTTATCTTTACCCAGAGTCATTCAGCCAACCTGCCTCTCCTCTTCTAGAAGTTTAGAGCAAATGTGTACATCCTGTCACTGCAAGTTCAGGGTTTGCTAGTCTAGACTGGCATGTTTGTAGTGAGCCTTGCAGGGAATGCTGGTAGTGACAGTAGCTTGTGGTTTTAGATGTGTGTACTGTAATAACTTTGTGCTGAAGGCAATTGCTCGACATAAAGCTCTGCCCATAGTGTTTGCCCTGGCTGGATTTTTTCCCATCGCACAGTAGAGGCCGGTCTTTTGTGCGTCTTATATATTGATATTCTCTAACTTGATTCCTGTCTTTGGGAACCAGGGTTTTCCATAGTAGTTATGAGACGGTTCAGAAACACATCTCCCAAGAATTATTACGATTCCTTGTCTCAAGGATTGCAGTTGGGAGATCATTTGTGCCTCAACAGAGGGATCAAAAATAGGGGGTAAGAGTTATGGCAATAGTTTGCACCCTTTTTTGAGGAGTTTGCATCCAGTGCATGGAGAAGAGGGTGCCTGGTGCAGTGTAGTGCTCCAACAGGCTATTGCAACTGTTGTTTCCCAAACTTACTTCAAATGTTCCTGTTAAAGGTGAATAGCAGATGGTTTTAAGAAAAATGCTTCAACTGCCCAATCTGAGTGAAACCTGCCCCAGTGCTTCCCTGCAGTTTGAGCAATGGACACCCTTTGTGTAAGCATGCTGTTCTGGCACCACTTCTTCCAGTAATCTGGCAGTTGTGCAGCAGCAGATCTCCACTGGGGAGTTGGTTTTCTAGTCCCATTTGATGTCATGTAAAGTATAGGTGAGGCCTCTGCTCCAGCATGGCATCACTCAGTTCCCTTTGTAATATTTTGTCTTGATAGCATTTATACACATGGCCCTTCTTGAAATCATCCAGCAGTGCAAATCGTTGTCTGTGAATTGGCTGTGAGCATCCTAGGCTCTGTGGATCTGGATGCTGAGGAACAAGGCAGGGAGTTAGCTTTTTTACCCAGGGAGAACACACCCAGGACCAAATGGGCAGGTAATGGGTTTCCCAGTCCTCTGGTGTCATGATCAAGCCAGCAAACTGAAAGGAGACACGAAATAAGGAAAAATGTGGGCCCTTTGTGGTAAGGGGAATAATTGAGGAACCAAACCTACCCAGGAAAATAAACAGGTTGAAGGATGGGAGGACTTGGAGTGGACTCTTGCATCATGTCTTAGATTTCAACTGTTCCTTTTTCCTTGTAGAGATTGAGACAGCTCCACGATGACAGGAAAACGGCTTCTGCCTCATGGGATCCGTGCCTTGTTTCTGCTCAGCATGGCCTGTGAAGCCCATCAGCCCACAGGGAGCCACGCTGTCTCCAGTGCCAATCCACTGTGTGAGAAGGAGGTTGAGTCCTGGGGAAACCTGTTCAGTGGAGAGCGACTGGATGCCTGGATCTGTTCTCTGATTGGCTCGGTCATGGTGGGGCTGAGTGGGGTTCTCCCTTTGCTGGTAATTCCCCTTGAGACAGGAGCCACTCTGAGATCAGAAGGTAAACCTCCTCTGTGATGCCTCCCACCCCAAATGTTAAGGCAGGCTGCTTACAGACATAAAGAACAAAACAAAACAGTGCTTTACTTTCAGCTCAGCGCACCCCGTCACCAAGCACAGTGCATTCCCAAATGAGGTATTGTGTTAGTTTGACTCAGCTTGTCCAACATCTGTATAGATCACGTGCTTTGGTGGGGCTTTTTGGCACTTCTGATAGCGAATTTAATCAGTTTTAGACAAACGTGCCAAAAGGCCTGGCTGGAGTGCCTGATCTATACAGATGCTGGGGAGCTGGGTGAAAGCAATGCGCTTCTTCTGGTAAAGTGCTGTTTTGTTTTAGTTTCCACCCCACCCCCTCCAAACGCCTGTTGGCAGCCACACTGACCCGTGGGTGTGGTGGTTTTATGTCTGACACGGGAATTGGGATCTTCTTTGTGCCCTACACATGCTGCCTGCTTAAATGCAGGCAAATCCATTCCTGTTAAAAGACCAGTTCCTATAATTTGAGTTTTTGGTCTTCTGGTGGAGAGCTTATGTACTCCAGTCTGGATACTGGAGACAAGTTTGCTTCCACACAGCCTCACTGTTTTTCCCCCATGTTTGATCATCAGGCTGGGCTCTGAGTGGCTTTTTCTGTTTGTCTTCCAGCGGGATCCTGTCGCTTGAAGCAGCTGTTAAGTTTTGCAATTGGTGGACTGCTGGGAAATGTGTTTCTGCACATGCTCCCAGAGGCCTGGGCCTACACCTGCAGTGCCACAGCAGGTAACACTGGGGTTGCACAAGCGCCTGATGGCCTAGAGCCTGTCCTGAGCACTGACTGCCCTGGGGCTTTTGTGAATCATTTTTCCAAAGAGGTCCCCAGAGGATGCCAGGGGACTTGGGCCTTTTTCTCTGCTTCTGCTCTTGGGGTCCCTTCAGCAAAGGCTCTTGACTGAAACTCATTTCTGTGCTACATCATTCCTTGGCCTAACAGTACTCAGATCTTTGATAAGGGGTAGCATTGGGGACTGACTTTCTTTAGAGTGTGTGCACAGTGGGGAGGGAAGCAGAAGGTGCAGCTCCCTGAACCCCCAGTACACCAGCTGCCCCAGATGGGGTGGATCTGGCCTGGCCTGAGCTAGAGCTTGAGAAGCAACTGATACAGCCTTCACCATTTCCAGTAACAGTTTCCTAAAGAGCCCATGGAAATATATGGTGATTATGTCTTAGGCAAACAAGGGTCATGAGAGGCCGAGTGCTGACTGGACCTTATAAATAGCTGCTCAGTTAAGAAAGGAACACCTTCTGACTCATTTGAAACAGTTCTGCAAGGAGCTCAGATCTCAGCATTACCTGTCCCAGGATTGAACTTACGCTTATTTGTGTCCAGTCCTGGTGGGAATCCAGGAATCCTTTCCCTGATGAGAATGTAGGGAATACAGAGATGACCTGAGCTTCCCAGAATCTGTTCCCACCTAAGCAGTAGGAATTAAAAAATATAGTCTGCAAAGCTCTGCTGCTTAACTGTTTCTTTCTCTTTCTCACTGCTCTGGTGCTCTGGCCCCTGTGACTGCACTTTCTGCCTAAGCATGTTAATTCTCCTTTTAGTCCTGTCCCTAGGTTTTAAGCTTCCAGGTTTGCATACTCCACACATCTATGCTTCTGGCATACCACAGTCTTTGCCTCGGCAGCCAGGCTGATTGGAGAATAATAGCAGAGGTTCACCCCTAATTAGAAGGAACATTTTATAGCTAATAATTTGCTCAGGTGTGGCAGGATGTTGAAGACAAATCTCTGGTTCAGCTTCCTGAGGCACAAACTTTCCTGTTTCGGCTTGCTGCTCAGGCAGACTCATCTGTAGGATTTGTGCTGACACAGACATCCCTGTAACCTTTGGTGGGAGACTCCGCTTTTGCTCAGCTTCACACAGCTTGCTGTGGAGCTGGACACAAGGGAAAAATCTATAGCATGATGGGAGATGGGCAGGATACAACTGCTGAGTTTTGGGGTACTGAGGACTGTGGCTGTAGAGGGCATTCTTGAGTTGGGGATGAGCACTGAGGTACGGCTCTGTGTTTCTCATAGGGCCAAAGGAAATGTCCTTGCCCCATGTTCTTGTCTCAGGCTTCTCAGTCACAAACTGAGCTGCCTTGGGTGCAGGGGCATTCCCTGTTTGCTGCCGTGAGGTGCCCTGAGAGGTTTTCTTTGTTTTCTAGGAGAAGGACAGAGCTTCCATCAGCAAAAGCTTTTAGGTCTCTGGGTGATCATTGGCTTTCTGACCTTCCTGGTGCTGGAGAAGATATTTCCAGAGAACGATGAGCAAGATCGGCTCAGCACGGTGGTGAGTGTATGACAAAGTGGGGAGAAGCCATTAATTCTGGAAGATGTGGGATAGGAAATGACTCCTCCTTCGTTTGAGGTTTGGTGTGTGTTCACTCCAGGGTGATAGAGTTCTTCATTTTAGCATAGTTTTCTGCTTCCAGTAGTTCAGCTCCTGACTGCTAGGCCTCCTTCCTTGTTCAGGTCCAGCTGGGTTTCTGCTCTGACAAGTTTTAGAGCTCTATTTCATGAATACCTATTCATTCCCCACTTGCTGAGCCCATGGCTTAAAGGTGGGCTCTTCCCTTCTTTCTGAGTGGAATTTCTTTCTGCTTCCCTGTGTTTGGGGGGATATTCTTTTGGCCTGTATGGTTGGCAGATCTCACACCAGAAAGATCTTTTAATTGGTCATTTGATACGATTTAGTAGATCAGACAGGAGTTGCCCAGTAACAAAGGGGCAATTGGTCATTGTTTCTACACATGCTGTGGTTCATCTCCTACATACTTCTGTTTTTAACATTGAAAAATAAATGCAACTTTTGATTCCTGGTCCAGTGCACTTCAGCAAACTTTGCTGCTCCAGAAGCATTTGAACTGGCCTTGGAATATTTCTAGGCTGAACCCCAGCTGGCTGCTGATATTACACATTAAAATTGTCATTTAGATTATCATCTCACTTCCCCAAGGGCACATCAATTTTTGCCAGAATTTTTATTCACCTCATATACTGAATAGCTGGACCAACCCTATGCATCAGCACAGTCCAGCATGTGGGGGATGTTATCCAGCCTGTGGGACTCCTTAGGTCCAGAAGTTTAGTGGCATGGTGGTGGTGGCAGCTTTAATTGCCATGGTGCTGTGCTTTGCTGTGGTAGTAAATCATGCCACTGCTCACCTGCTGCCAAATTTCCAGACCTGTGGAGAGCCCTGCCAGCTGGTTGACACAGTTCCGTAGGCTGTAGGGTAAGTACCTCTGGTTCACATGGGTTTGTGTGGTGTGCTCAGATTTTCAGTACGCTAATCCAAATTCAGTAATTTTGCATAAAACCGCCCTGATATTTTTTTCATGTCTCAAGGTTGTGATCAGCAGGCCTTGGGGCTGAAGGGTATTGGGATTATGCTTTGGGGTAGAAGGATTAAGAGTAAAAGGAAATTTCTTCGGTCCTATCTGCATGCTTGGTCTGTGGCGTAAGAGGGAAGTAGCATAACAGTTGCTTCTCTCCTGACTCAGGACAGTGATTCCAGAGCACCAGCCAAAAGGGTTCCAAATGGAAGCAGCTTTTCTCCGCAGAAGGCAACAAGCACAGTACAAAGAACAGGAACAGGTGTGACTCAGTGTAATGGTTCCTCTCACCAGTCTCACCCACCTGACAGAAAAATAAAGGTAAATGGCCAGCTGGCAAAGCCCATACTGCAGCAAAAAGGGTACATAGTGTCCTCCATGTGCTCCCAAGTGAAGCTGCCTTTGTTTTAAAAGGAGAGGGGCTTGAAATTCAGTCAGGCAGTGGAGGCTGCTACATTTCTTGGTAGCTAAACAACCTGGTCTAGTGGATTGTGGAAAAAGCCACTTATTTTTTTTAAAGTGTTCTTTTTATGGGTGATTTGTAGAGTAGTGTATTCAAATCTGAAACCTCCAAGCACCTGGAGCAGATTGGACACCTTTTGCCCCTAAAATGTTACATGTGAAACTACATCAAAGACCCCAAAATGATGCTTTTGAAAGTCAGGAAGTACCATTATGTCTTCATAACCTGAGCCCCACCCCTTCTGCATATGCAAAACCACACTTAGATTTGCACACCTCACCCAGACTGGCATTACTGCACAAGTTCAGAAGCCCTCAAGATTTGCTACCTACATGGCTAACTCCTACTTAATCCCTCTTGAAATCCAAATTGATATGGGAAACGCCTATATTCTGCCTAAGTTCCTGAGTCTTAAGGCATGAACACAGCACACATATAGCGACATTTGCTGTCAGCTCATTATAAAATATAGCTGGTGGCTGTGCCTACCTTTTGTCCAGTAGCCTGATGATTAGAGCATTTGCCCGGCGAGCAGGGCATAACTGATCTCTAGACCCTCATCATTCTGAAGGAACACAAACCCACATTTTCCTCCTCCTAGGACTGTGACATAAGCCCCAGGCTATGCACTAGGCTGGGTGAGGACACCTTTCTGTTTAAGTTAGACCATTGCGTAGTCAAGAGTGCAAGTTTCATGGGGCCAGAAGGAGAACAACCAGGAGAGAGTGTAACTGTAGCCTGGTAGTTATGGCACTGCCCTAAAAGAGGAGAGTCTAGGGTTGCAGTCCTTGCTGCCAGGGAAATTTCTTTGTTTTCATGAATGACTGTTTCATACAAAATGTATGAGTGGTCTTGGCAGCATGGAACAAAACCCAGGAATCGCCCCCTCTCAGGGCAGTGCTTTCCTCACTGGCTGATGTTTATGCTCCCTCTTGTTTTCTCTTCTGGCCCTATGAATTTTTCACTCTAGCTGCTGCCAAAAAAAATAACCTCACCTTCCTTAGAAGTCATATAGATGCGTCTTTTGCACCTAAATAAAATAATAGGGGATCCATAAGGGCTTATGACTTTTTTTGCAGTATCTTTGTTCATTACAGAAACATCAGAGCTTTTCTGTTTCTACCCCGGCTCAGGGATTCCTACTGACTTGCAGCAGTATATTCCTTTGCATAGCAACATTTGTCCTGCATTGTGAGCAGAAATTCTCTCCCTAGCTGTGCAGTTCACAAGCTTAGAGAACATCATGTTGTTTGTTCTCAGAATGTAAATGGCACAGGTTTATAACTGTCAAATCAAAACCAAGTTTTCTACGAGGGTCCAAGGTTTTGCTTCTTGTCTATGAGAGCTTTCACCCAAGCCACGGACAGAAAAGGTCATGGCATTTTAATCATGAAGTGTGTGTTTTCTCTACTCTCGTACTTGAGTGGGCTGAAGCATTTTGGTTTAAACTTAAATAAATTATTGTTACCATCCTTTGAGCAAAGCCCAATCCTGGAAAATCTCAGTGTGAAGAGAAATTTCAGTTAGCTACATGTGACTGGAAACAGCGGGTAGGAATGAAAACAGAAAGCAATTTGCAATCAAATCTAGGGATGTTGCTGCTCCCACTCTTAAAGAAATACCCACAAAGAAATTGTTCTGTTTTTTGTTTCCTTTTGATGTCTTCATTTCCCCCCTAAATTTTATGTTGTTGTTTTTTTCTTTTTTGCATATAGTTAGTTAGCGTTGATTCTACTTTTATCCAGTAACTATTTACATTTTTACATTAGTGCTTATGTGAAATGAGATGGCAAAAACATTCTCTGCGTTAACCCTGCTTTCACCTGTTCATAACTTTTCAAAGCATCCCTCTTATGCTAAGATTTATGCTTCATCCAAACACAATTGTATTGGAAAGTTTCAGCAAAATCCCTTTAGCTTGCTCCACTTCTACTAATCCCTTAAAACAGATTATCTTTTAAACTTCTCCTATAATTAACTTTTAAACTTGTGCTGTTAATTTCCTACCCTTTATTTTCATACTTAGTTGTGAGTATACTTGATGTTTGAAAATCATTTGAAAATCACAAAGTAACATTGGGGCAGTAGATAATGCCTCTGATTAGAAGTTTGCACTTTAAGAGATGAATATTCTGGGATAAAAAACACCACTATGAGAACAGGTATCAGAAGCTACTTGCTGTTCCAGACATAGTAAAGCTGGAGAAACACTGAGGAAACACTCAAGCCATCTCCTAGAAATAAATCCGTGCCTGTCTGGCCTGGTGAAAGTCAATAAACAACTTCACCTACTTCTAACAGGAATGATTGGGGCCTCCTTCAGAGGCATATAAGTCTGCCAACTGTCAAGTATAGCTGTCTGCTTGATACTTAGGAAACCACGTCAGCCTCCCATTCCTAAGAAAAATCATGAAACTCAATGCAACTGCTGGACATCACCAAACAGCCTCAATGCGTAGCAGCTAGACTCCCTGATCAAAACCTTCTAAACATGCAGGCCTTACTGCATTAACAGGCAACCTCCTTATGGCAAAATGAGCAGATCATATCTCAGTGTTCAGGCTACTCAGCCTCTGCAGCATCCAACAGTTGACCCCAATTTACTGTTGACTTGTATACATAACATAATTGGAGTTAGCTTGACAGTGTCTTCAGCCAGCTCAGAGTGGTGATGGAAAACTACTCCGCTTCTCTCAGTTTCCACCAGCAGAGTTCTACAGGGATCTGTCTTCTCTGTCTTCATAAATTAAATTTACGAGACCACTTTGGACAGGAAGTGAGATACCACCTCTTCACTGCTCACAGACACTTAGCTGTATGGCTGCGCATGTAGAAATAAACTAACAGTATTGCAAGGGTGTCCCAGTGGCCATGGGAGATCAGCTGCTAGGCTATGAGTAGCAGGCTCATGGCTCACTCCTCCTACCTCCTTCAGCTGCTGGCTTGGACAAGAAACTAGTCACTGGTCCACATAGTGATCTGACCCCTCCAAACTGGCTTGTGCTAACTCACTCTGGTCTAAAAGCAGAAGCAAAACAGCAGCTCTAACTTGCACTAAATTTTAGCTGTCAGTATTGACAGTCTGTGCTCTGGTTCCTCCACGAACTCCTATACTGATCATGCGGCCACTCCAAACAATTCGTGGGTCAGGACCCTGTTATACCAATGACTGCATATCCATCTCACCAAAGCTACAGTACTCCTTTATGATTATACAGCTGATAATGTACATGAAAACAAGAGAGGCTGAGCTCTCAAGAAATAAGACTTCTGAAACGGGTTTGATAGATCTGGAGTCTTGGTTGCTTTTAAGAAAGCTTTCCCATCTCTCTAGGTGGTCTCCTGTACTGTATTTAAGCCAAAATGAGTGATGCCTCAAGCAGAGTTTTCTATTATGTAGATGAAAAGATGACTTCATGAAGCCCCTTAGGAACCTTGCTCTGTAGCACTAATCAATCTGTATAACACTTGAACAAAGACTACAGATACAGGCATCATACTAAAAAAGAGAGGCATTTGCATGTATTTATCAGGTTATGTGAATAAGCACCAGCCAACTCTAAAGGATGGACAAATGAACAATTAAGAGTTTAAAAGGGGTTGGATCTTTCTGTGGAGCAGCTGACATGAGGTGACTGTCAATAGGCATGTCTTAACCCATGGTAAATGAAAGCTAAACCAGGGCAATTTAGCTCTTGCTGAAACAGGATTAAGTATCAGTGGTTTAGCTTTCACTCTGCAGGGTAAGAGTGGACAAATGGACTTGTTACCATGGAGCAGCTGATGCATGGTAAATCCTCAGTTCCCTTTAACATACTGTAATGTGTCTGTTTGTCCATACCCTTAGAGGAGGTGTGAAAGGACTGCAGGGGTTTGTTTTTAAGCCACAGAAAAATAACTTCAACCATGTTGGATTTGCCACATTATGCTTCTCATCTTTCGCATGGGAGGTACTTGACAGTTTACTATATAACTGTATATTTGATGAGCAAAGAGGCTTGGCTTATATTGACAGACAAGGTTCTTTGGGTAAATGTGATATATTTTATTAGACCAACTAAATAGTTGGAAAAAAATGCTCTTCGCAAGCTTTCAGGCGCACATACCCTTCTTCAAGCATAAGGAGAGTCTGCTGGTGTTTGTGAGCTCTCCTGCTTTGGTTTATATTGTAACCCAGCAGCCACCTCTAAATTAGTGTTTGCTGCCTGGAATCTCTGATTGCATTGTTATCATGTTTAGTACTGCACTCTTAATTCCATTTTCATTCTTTAGCCAGCTTCTCTTCCTCCTCCTTTTCTCTGTCTCTGGAGCTATTTCCACTTCTGATGTCACCTTCCTGTTTTAACACCTGACACCACACAGACTGGAGCACAGATGCAGGGTTCAAGCCACTGACCAGTGGTGCCTTGCTGCTACCATGTTTTGTCTGTCCTAGAGTGTCTAATCTGTCTCTTGGCTGGATTTAGAGCTTCCCAACATGGACCTCATTCTGTTCTATCACTTACCAATTTCTCTGACTTCTCCCTGCAGATCAGTGGGTACCTCAACCTACTGGCCAATACCATTGATAACTTTACACATGGCCTGGCAGTGGCAGCTGGCTTCCTGGTTAGCAGAAAGGTAAGATTCCTACAACTACCTACCTGCTGACTTAGAGATTTGAGGGGGGTCTTTTATCATGTGCACCCAATACCTTTGCAGAAAAGGGCTCAGCAAGCCACCCCCCTTATCTGCATCTACTAAGAATTTGGTTTACTGGTGAACCCAACAAGGAACAAGTCTTCTCTGGCCTTCAGGGTATGCCTGTTCTTTGTTGGGTTCACCAGTAAACCAAATTCTTAGTAGATGCAGATAGGGGGGATGGCTTGCTGAGCCCTTCCAGACCAGGAGATCCTGGTCACCTATACTAGGAAGCAGGAAATGGTTATCTCATACACCCCTATCCTTAATCTAGGGCAGCCATAGTCAGTACAGTAAGGGGGGGAGAGAGGTTTTGAGCAGGCACCTGCTGCCTGTACTCTTAACCCCGCTAAACTAGAAAATCACATTCAAGCCAACTTATTTTATCTCCTACAGGTTGGGGTTCTAACCACCATGGCAATCCTCCTGCATGAAATACCACATGAGGTGAGAGGGTTCTTTAACCTACTATCAGGGTAGAGTTACAGGGGTGCTTTGTTTATGGCAGGAAGTTTGAGTCTTGTCTGGAGTGGGCAGTAGTGCTCCATATCCAGGAAGAAGGCTGGGAGAAGTTCTCTGCTTTCCATCCATCCTCTTGGTCCTCGGAGGAGCTGTTACCTTTTGGTACTGGCTCTAACCTGTTATGTTCCCCCTCTTGAACTCTCTTTCTTCCTGGTGTTGGCTTTTGTGCTTGGGATCAATAACCACTGACTCTGGGTTCTCTTAGGTAGGAGATTTTGCCATCCTGCTCCGGGCTGGGTTTGACCGCTGGAGTGCAGCCAAGATGCAGCTTTCCACAGCTTTGGGGGGAATTCTAGGGGCCTGCTTTGCAATCTGTGTTCAGTTACCTAAAGGAGCAGGTAAGTGTCACTGGGGCTGTAGGGGGAGCACTTATTTACTATCATGTCCCTTTGTTGCCTTTCTGACAGACAACATTTTTTGGGTAGATGTATATCTTTTATTAGACCAATGGAGTAGTTGGAAAAATGTCTTGTTGCCTTTCTGGTTTTTTTATCTTCCTTTCACATTATTAATAACAATTTCCACTGTCTGTGTAGGAGAAACTGTAGCTTGGATTCTTCCATTCACCTCTGGGGGATTTCTGTATATTGCCTTGGTGAATGTCGTGCCTGATCTCCTGGAGGAAGAGAATCCTTGGTAAGTGCTCCAATAGAGATATAGAAGAGAACAAGCTAATAAACCTCCCTGGACTCCACACTTCTGTTTCTGGGAGCATGTGACTGCTCTTCCTAAATCCTGAGAGCATATGAGATGGTACCTAGACCAGACTACTGTGCCAGCTGCTCAGTTTATGTTCCAGAAGATTTGCAAGTTGATACTGGGCACACCAATTGAAAGCTACTTCAGCCTATCCCCATTGTAACATGCTGGCTTTTACATGCTTTGAGCTAGCCTGCATGCGTGACTGGATTAGGATCCTAGAGTTTAAATGAAACAGCAGTGTAAGGTTCCAACGAAGCTGTTGCCTATCCCTTGCCTTCTGGGTGTCCACTCCTCCCTTTCTTCTTTCCAGTGCATTGCTTTAATGTTTATCATCATTTGGTAGGAAATTGGTATTGACAAGGGGAGGTGGGTCCCACATCAGGTGGTGTTTGGTTTCAAATGGGTTCTAACTGCCCAAACTCTGTCATCTGTATTGATTTATTTTCAGGGTAAGGAGTACAAACACAGGCAGGACAATCCCCATATGCAGACATGTGCACCTATCTTTTAATACGTGCTGGACTATCCACAATATTTTCAGTGCTTGGGTAATGCAGCAATAGTTGTCATATATATTCATCCTTCATACAAGTGAGTGCAGCTCTCCTTGGCTTCGCTACAAGAAGAAATAATTTTTCAGCAGATGAATTTGTCACAGGCTTTCAGTGGAGAACACTGAAACACGTGGCAGAACTGGTGCATGTGCTTCCTTGTTACTCTTTTACTCTTGCTCCCTCTACTAGCCTTTCCATTCCCAGTTATGTTTTAAACCACTTAGAAATTCCCATTGCAGGGAGCTAGGAACTATTCTCTGTCAGAGATGCTGCAGGCTAGTGTGACTTCAGAATTCCCATTTTCCACCACAACATTTTCCTTCCCATTTCAGTATGCTCCCTTGATTTTACAACCCCATCCACACTTGCTTTTCTGAAATCCAATCTGTTTATGTTACTATATTCACTGGCAAACCCATTACTGTTGTTATTGGTACTGAACTTTCACAGTGATCACTGTACTGGAAAGCATTCTTGCTGCTTCCAGTATTCAGTTGTGCCACCTGTTGGACTTATTTCTCAGCCCCCTCACTGCATTGCAGAAGGAAGTGTTGCAGACATCTTCTGCTCTCCTAAAGTTGGTCATCTTGTCCTTGTCCAATTCAGTGATGAATCTGGAGGAGCAAAGAGTATAGGAGATGGAACTCTAAAGCCTCTGAGCTAATGCGGACTTGGACTGGTGTCTGACCCACTCTAACTCTGTTGTTTCTTCCCCAGGAACTCCCTGCAGCAAGTCCTTCTCCTGTGTGCAGGCATTATGGTCATTGTGTTGCTCTCAGTTACTATAGAATGACCTCTGCTCAGACCTTATGGCACTTCCCAGAACAGCTGCATTGACTCTGAGCTGTTACAAAGCAATAAGGAACACTAATGTAACTTCCTGTATGTCCATGTGTGGATCTGGCTGCTAGCGTGAGAGGCAGGTGACAAAGGAGTCATTAGACATGCTGGACTCCATCCCCTGGCTCTTTTATTTGTGCTCCATTAACGTCCCACAAGCTGGGACTTCCAAAGTCATCATTCTTTGGAGCAGAAGACTTTGAGGAGCAAAAATGAACTAAACAACTACTCCAAGGGGAATGGAGTTTTTCATTCTGGAGTAAAAACGTGATGGAACTGTACTTCCCAGGATCCTGTGTAAAGATCCCTGTAGCTGGTAAAGAGGCAGGGTCTATCTGTCACCTTAGACTTGGGGAGAGAATAAATGTCCCAAAGCAGCTGCAAACCACCAGCTTTCACCACTGCAACCCTTCTAGCAGGAGCAAAGGTGCTATCAAAACCCCTGAGATGCAGAGGAGCGGAGAACAGCCATCTCCCTCATTTACCAATAGAGAATACTGTTGTTTATAAGAGAGTGTCAACCTTGGCAGTCCACTTCTCTGGCTTCATCTACCGTAGTTTGATGTCACAGTTGGGTCAGATACTGGGGCAGTTGGGATGAAGTTGGGATAGTCATGCTCAGCATGGAAGTCTGTTTGCATCAGCCTTAACCCCTCCAGCAGTTCAATACAGCCTGGGTTCTTATTTGGAAAAAGGCAAATAAATACTTCTGGTCATCCCAAGCAGTCAGTTCAGCTATATCTGGGGAGAGGGTCACTTAGTAACTCCTGACCACCTAAATCCTCTCCTCAGCTGTATGTACAATGTGAGCAAGGTCTGTGCTCTAATCTCTGTGAGAAGAGAGAGAGAAAAGAGAACATGCTGACCATACATAAAGAAAAAGATAAAGCAGAGAAAATTGTCTGTACACACAATGAAGAGAAACAAAAGGGTTCAAAAAATGAAAAATTAATCTGAAATCACTGTTAGCTAAGCTGGAATGAACAAAGAAATGAGAGGCTGACAGCATCATGCCTGTAACAGGAATTTTGTTCCATGGTGTTTATTCAATTTGATGGTCATTTAAATAGGCAAGTGAAATTTAACCTGAAAATTCCTAATTTTGACTGGTGGGGATGACCAGCTCCAATACCCATTTGTGTTTTCCGAACGCACACTATCCCTTAGGCCTTGTCTACATAAGAAAGTTGTACTGATCTTAACAAAACCTGGTTTTAAACCAATAGAGTATAATTAATCATTTTGTTACAGGTATGAAATGAGTACCCATGGCTAGAGGTATAAAGCTGTCTCAAACTAGTCACTCCTAAAGGGTGTGCTGAAGCCTGCTAATGTGCTGCAAGAAGAGTGAAAGTGTGATACAAGAAATGAGCTGGATCAGGCCCCAGCTGTGCTGGCCCATGGACCAGTGAGTGAAGTGTGTTGCCAATTTTAATCCAGGAAAAAAAGTGTGCCCCAGGTGTCAAAAATGTGGTAAACACTACTCTAAACAGAGTTTATTAAAATCAGTACAACATATGGGTCTATACAGGCCCTTACTGAAAGTGCTTTTTCCTGTTACACTTCAGTATGCCTAATGCTCCTAAAGAGGTGAGTCTGAACCAGAGTAACAGGCCAGGCCTAAAGTGCTGCCAAGAGCAGGTGCCCTCTATTCCTTTAGAACAGGGGTGTCAAAGATATGCATCACAGGCTGGATGTGGCCCATGGAACCATACAATCTGGACTGTGGGTCTCGGGCTGAGCCTGCATGCCACATGTGGTTTGTGCTGGCCCCAGCCACGTGCTACACAGTGTTCAAGGCTGCCACTATCGGCCTGTAGAGCTGCCACCATCAGTGCTTCATGCAGCACTGGCCTGGTCTGGAGCATATGCTGCATGCAGTGCCTGTGCTGGACCAGCTTTGCGGGATGGCTTTGAAGCTGATCTGAATCAGGCCCACAAACTGGTCCTGTGCATTGGCTGCTGGTCCTACACTCCTCATCAATTGGCTGCTGGTCCTACACTCCTCACTCCCACAGACTGGTCCTACACTCCTCATCCAGCTAACGGGGCTGGATGAATTTGACATCCCTGCTTTAGAATATGGGTGTCAATCTCACACCTCTTCTTAGGCTGGATCCAGATGCAGTGGTAGAGCAAGTGGCAGCAGTGTGGTAAGCATTGGCCTTGGTACAGGAAGCAACATGACCATTGCTACAAACATGAATTTCCAACAGGACTGTCCATACCCCAGATTTTGGCACAAGTCCCTGCCCCAAATTCCTGATCCCTCTGGCCACTGCTTACCCAACAACATGGCTCCATGGGTTAGATCTAGCCCATGGGCAGTAATTTTGACACCACTGTTTTACAGCTCTTGAACTTTGATTTTTTTCCATGGTAGCTTCCAGGCTACCTTCTGGAGAGAGCCTGGGCTGCTGCTGCTTGTAGTTCCCTCCATACAGGGACCATTAAAATATCTTCAGCTTTTCTTTAACCCACCTTGTATCATGAACCAGATGTATTGCAGCTATGAGAGAGGCTATTTCAGTGCAGCTTTCATGTACAGTTGAAAGCTGCCTTTCCATGACAGCTGCTGTCTACATGCTGCAGCTGTCATATGCTCCAGTCCGGCATCCATCTCTCTCTTTCCAAGCAGCTGTGATGATTAATAGTTCTTAGGTACTCAGTTCTGTTGCTCTGTGGCTGTTTTCCTAGGACTTGGAGCTAAACCAAGCCCTTGGTGTGGAAGTTGAAGAAACATGTCTGTGTACAGTGATATGCCCAACATTATCCAATATGTTTTGTTAAAAATCATGATGGCATCCAAGTCAAGTGCATTGCAAGATGAGTACCCAGGGTTTGGTGCTAGTATACTGGTACTGGGTTTGGCTTAGAATGCAAGCCTCAGTGCAAATTCAGTATTCAGGAATGCAAAGTGGGTGACACTGAAGCATTAATCTCTGAGCTGTTTCTATTGGCTGGCAGCCCAGGCCTGGTCTCTGTCTACAGGTCTTGGGAAGCTGCATCCGCTGGGTTAGCCCAGGGCTCTGGGAGGGGCTGATTAGCTGTTCCGCTGCAGGCAGCACCAGCTCTGAGCCTGAAGGGTAGGTGCTGTGGCAAGGGACAAATAGTCACTCTGCCATGTTTGTCACTTTTGGAAATGCAGAGAGAATCCTATTTTCTAGCTTTATTTTTCCAGCTGCTCTTATGCATTTTCCCATTCGTCTGTATTGATCTGATCTGCATGGAGACAATAGAGATGAAATAAATCATTTTGAGTATGTTTGTGGTTTTGATAAGCAACTTTTTCATTTTACTCCCTGCGGATCACAGACAAAACCCCTGACCCTGCCATTATCCATCCTCTTCATAGGCCCTTGTCATGCTATCTAATCCTGAAGCCTTCACTTCTGAAAGCTTAAGTCTCAAACCATTATTATGCCTGCTGTTATAACATGTACAGGGATCAGCAGGGATGTGGTCTTATCACTGTTGTCTTACAATATGTATAGTCTGTTATGCATCTGCAGAGTGTGTAAGAAGAATTTTTTCAACCCAGGTAGTACATATATGACAACCCACGGTCTAAATTATGTGATATCCAAAGTTTCCTAGTAAACATAGTAAAAATCTCATGGGAAGATTTTTTTCTATTCTCCAAATAAGGACAGATCAGACCTGGTAAGATGTGGTGCCCTAAAAGGTAAGATCCCTCTTAAAGTGTTATCAAGTGATAAGAGCATATGTTGTTATATACTTGACATAAAACCCTGAAGAACAAAGATGGGAGAGGTGATTACAAGGTGTTGATTGATGTTGGCTGTATGTTTGTTGGGTTAGGACAAGGCTGTCCAAGTTCTTACAAGCCAGGGGCTACAGCAGCAGGGGCCACAGCACCTCTCACCTCTCCAGCTGCTAGCTCCCTCTGCTCTACAATGGGCAGGCAGTCTCCTCAGTTACTGCAGCACACAGGTGGGCAGGCAGATTCCACCTCTCAACTGCTGCACCAGGCAGGTGGGTGGCTCAAGTGAAAGCAGGAAAAAGGGAAGCCTGGAGACCCCAACAGCAGCAGCAGGAGCCTTGGGGCTACAGCTAGGATCCCTTGCAGGCCACCAATTGGACAGCCCTGTTTTTAGGAAATGTCAGATTTCTTGACTTCTGTGGAGTTTAGAGAGGATTGCTGGGATAATTCCAATTCATGGATCTTCCATTTAATCTTTAGAAATGCTGCTTAATTACAGATGTAACTAAGCTTCTGATATGACTTGTGCATGAATATCTCTCACTGTCTAAGAGAGATTCCCTTTATGACTCTAAATCACTAATCAGAGATCACATCTGCACAAGAAAAGCCAGCCATTGCAGAGAGCCCTTGTTAAATTGTGGTTAAACCATGACCACAGCTGTCACAGAGTTCCCAGATGCAGCTAGGTCTTTTATATGATGGTGAAGAGGGACAGCTGTCTTCTGAGCAGGTTCTCTGTGTGTAATATGGCTATGTAGACTGATTGCTGGTTGAGAGCCTGCAAGAACTAAGAAGGAAAAGATAATTCTCTCTGTGTCAGGTCTAGCACAAGCAGAACAATTTCAGAGATAGCATGCCTCAATCTTCCACTGTGATGGCATTTTCACTTGGTTCATGACCTCTGTCCTAACCTGAGCCCAGCCACTGTAACTAAATTTCAGTGAGCCTTGGAACCTCTGGTTTGAGAACTGCCGTTCTAGGACATGTATGGTTCTGTTCCTGAGAGTAGATTTCTATTGTGAGGATGCATAAGACCACCTTTTTAAAAAAATCCAACTAATCAAGTATTGTCCAGAAAATGGTTAAACAGACCTTTCAAGCCTATAATTTTGATTTGTAAAAGCAACGTCCTAACAACTGACTTCAGGGAGCAATCAGACTGCAGCTAGAGCAGTGGGATGCAACCTTTTTTGGACTTGAGGCACCCCTCTAACTTTTGTGAATTGAGTGGCACCCAAATAAAAAAAAAATGAATTTGTATATTACAGTACTTATGTCCTTACACAGGGGCAGGGCAGTATAGGTGCCAGATCATCTAGGCATGGACAAGACTGAGCCAAGATAATCTGCTTAATTTATCTGCTTGCCTCTTCACATCTTGCTCATCTCCTAATGCTTTATAGGCACGCTTCATCTGCTAGCACCCCAGTTAAGAATAATTGAACTAGAGGAATAAGTCCTATGAAACAGCCAGGAGCAGAAGGGATGTTTTTGCCTCTGGACATGTATTTAACTAGTGACTCAGATGTAGCCTACATTTGACTGCATAAAATAGATTGGTATTTTCTGCTTTTTCAGCCTCATTTCCCATACGGTGGTGGGTGAGAAAGCACTATAAACAAATGCAGCTGCTGCTTTTTGTATCTTGTTGATAGATATAAATCAGGCTTAAGCCATTGCTTCTTGCAGTAGTAGCAGTGCTAGTCTGCCCCCTTAGGACATGACTGTGTATGCCAGGCAAGTCACCAGCCCTCCAGAAGAATGTGGGGGGAAACTTAACTGAGGCCTCTGTCCTGAGCCACAAGTGTTCCTCCTGAGGCTTTGCAAAATCAGGGCGAATGTCCAGGCCCCACTGACTCCTTGCAGCTTCCAGGACAGAAACTTTGAACTCTCTGCTTCTACCAGCCTGGGTAGCACTATAAAGTGGGGATTTTCTGGGAATTAGCTCCTAATTCTGTAGTGCAGTGTAATGCAGGATTTGGGGAAGGAGGGAGAAGTCTCTGTTAGAAAAAAACCCCAAACAAACTATTGGACGCGGTTCAAAGAATGTCTCTGGGACACTTGTCAAAAAAGCATGTGGTTCAAAGAATATCTCTGGGACACTGTCAGTCTCGGGTGGCTTGAGCAAAGCCACCTAGGGCGTATGGATCAGCTCTGCCAGTCCCTCAGTTCCCCTGTGATAAGCAATACAAAACAATAGAACGATTGGTTTCAAAATGATACCTTTTATTAGACCAACTGAAAATTGGCAAGAAAATTGTCCTTTTCTGCAAGCTTTTGGGATCAAAATCCCTTTGTCAGGTCTGGGAAAAGTATAGATGGGACAAGATGGTAAACAGTCCCCATAGGTAGGAAATAAACTTCATTTTTGCAGAGGGAGCTGAAGATGGAAGGCTGTCCCCCTGGGTCCATGAGAGTGTGATAGGCAAGGCACTTTCAGGGCTGCCTCTGCACTGATGGAATCACGTTACCTCCTGGCTCATTATGATCTGCCTGTTCCCTTCTGACCTCTTTCCATGGGTGTTAATGACCCTCTCTTCTTTTTAGCTCCTATTTCACAGCCCTGCAGATTGGTTTTCATAGGATTGTAGAGATGCTGGAAGAGACCTCCAAAGATCATCCAATCTAACCCCTCTGCCTGAGGATCATCCCTTTCCAACCCATCCCACACAAATCCATAATCCAAACTCTTCATAAAACTGCCGTCACCCTTGACAGACCCCTAACACCTTAACCTGCCGCAGGTAAAGCAGAGAGACCTCTGCAGCAGAACTCCTGTTTCTATGAGAGGTTAACATGCTTGAGATCCTGGGTAGAGGGTCACACCCTCACTAGAGGAAGGCAAAGAAGTCCAGTCTGTACCATTCTGATCAGGGATTAAAATTCCTTCCTTCCCCGAAGGCAGGATGGGTCTGACTGAGCACTGACACACATCTTGGAGATTTGACTGAACCGATATTTGTTTTCTCGTCCATCTTCCCATGGGCCCCTTGCCTCCAAGTGAAGCTCCTAGTCCAGCAGTTCCCAAACTCGGGCAGACTGCACACTGCCACCTGCAACCGACACTGCCTTAAGCCCTACCAGCACACTTTCCAGTTCCACCTTGAGAACCACCTGCAAATTCTTGTCATATACAGTAATGATAAGTCTGGTACCCTACCGCTGACAGGGGGTCTGCGCGCTAGTGGTGGGAGGCGAACCACAGATTGGGAACCGCTGTCATCTAGTTGGTTTTCAACTGGAGAAAGATGTGAGGCGCTGCCCCAGGGCGCCCCTTCAAGCCTAGATCCTCCCCTGGGCACTTTTCTTCTGCCCGACTCCCTGCCTCGCCCCCAGGCCGCCTTGCGTCCCTCAGCAGCACAGCAGGAGCAGCCACGTCGCTTTGCCGGCGCAACCGTCGCGCTGAGGGAGCCGTTGGTCCAACCCGAGGCACCTAACTGTCGCCCCCAAAACGGATCAGCAACAACCTGCGCGCTTCCCCCTTTTGTGCGCCCGGGCGAGGGGCGGGGCCAGCTTCGCCCCACCCCCCGCACCCGTCACTCGCCCTGCCTCCAGCCCCCAGGGGCTCCGCGGCGTCCACGCGGAGCCGGCGAGAGCAGGGC